GCACCCGGGCCAGCGCCTCCGGGACTCCTTGTGTCGGGGCTGCAGGCACAGGAGGGACGGAGGAGGCGCGTCTGTACCGGCGCCAGGTCAGAGCCCGCGAGGCGGAGGCTGAGGGAGGGCCCCTATGCTGTGATGTATTTGGGGTTCAGGGCAGGGTGTGGCGAACCTGGGCCTGTTTTTTTAAATGTTTTATTAACTTCAGAGAGGGAGGGAGAGGGAGAGAGAGACGGAAACATCAATGACGAGAGAGACTCATGGACCGGCTGCCTCCTGCCTGCCCCGCACGTGATCGAGCCTCCAACCTGACGTGTGCCCTGACGGGAACTGAACCGTGACCTCCTGGTTCATAGGTCGGTGCTCAACCCCTGAGCCGCGCCGGCCGCGCTGCCTGTTTTGTAAGTGTCCCCGCGCAGCCCCACCAGGGGTGCCGGCTGTCGGGCGGCTTGGAGCTCAGGGCAGAGGGGACTCGTGGCCAGGACAGTCGTGATGCTGTTTGAGGAGCCTGAGTGTCTGTGGAAAGAAACGCTGCTCCCGTTGGAGGAACCGGCTGCGGAGCCGCGTGACCCGTGCTTGTGTCTCCACAGAGGACGTCCCGGACTCCCCGCCCGGCCTCGGCTCCCCCAGGGCCGCTCTGCTCCCTCCCGTCCTGAGGAAGGTGCCTGTGGACAAGGAGCGGGAAGGCCAGGGCAGCCCCCAGCCCAGCCCCAGGCCGTTCTCCCAGGAAGGTAGGGACGCCCGTCCCCGCCCAGCTCTCCCCGGGGGACTCACTCAGGAGAAGGGCTGCCCCCGGGACAGGCTCGCCGCTTCCAGTGACATCGGCATCCCTTGGGTTACATGCTGGGACCCGTGCCCTTTCTGGGTGCAGACCCTCGAGTCCACGTTACTGACGGCACAGGGTCAGGATGGAGGTCATAGGGTCAGGATGGAGGTCGTGGGGTCTAGATGGAGGTCGCAGGGTCAGGATGGGGGTCTCGGAGTCAGGATGGAGGTTGTGGGGTCGAGATGGAGGTCGCAGGGTCAGGATGGAGGTCGCAGGGTCAGGATGGAGGTCGCGGGGTCAGGATGGAGGTCGCGGGGTCGGGATGGAGGTTGTGGGGTTGGGATGGAGGTCGCAGGGTAAGGATGGAGGTCGTGGGGTCAGGATGGAGGTCGCAGGGTCAGGATGGAGGTTACGGGGTCAGGATGGAGGTTACGGGGTCAGGATGGAGGTCTCTGGTCGGGATGGAGGTTACGGGGTCAGGATGGAGGTCGTACACATAGAGACCCCCCCTCTCTCCCTGCCCCCCACTGAGACTGCAGCCCAGTGGCCTCAGATCTGTAGCAGTCACCCTGTGCTCCTGCCCTGGCCCCCTCACCTGCGGGGCCGTAGACATTGTTTGGTGCGTCCTGTGGGGTTCCAGGCCCCCTGTTTCCAGCACAAGCTCCCCTGTCGTCAGTGACGTTGCTGTGGCCCAGGGTGCCCGCCAGGTCTGCGTGGCCTCGGGGCTCACAGGCTCCGTCTGTCACGGGGTCGGCTCGTTCCCAGCAGAGTGGCCGCGGAGGGACGCGCTCGGCCGGCACCTCCCCATGTGCTCCCTCTAATGCAGGGGTGGGTAGGGCAGGACAATCCTAGGTGCACACGCTGCCTCCCGGACTCGGACCAGGGGCGGCGCTGGGGGCCCTGTTGGGCCTCGGCACCCCATTGTCTCGCTCTCGTTCTGCTGGACGCACAGCGCCTCTGGGGTGCAGTCCTTCGAGGATATTTTCCCATTGATTTTCAGAGAGAGTGGAAGAGAGAGGGAAAGACATGGAATACCGTGTGAGAGAAACACAGCCATTGGTTGCCTCAAGCACGTGCTCCAACTGGAAGGAGCCTGCAACCAAGGTACATGTCCTTGACCAGAATCGAACTCGGGACCCTGGGGTCCGCAGGCCGATGCTCTATCCACTGAGCAAAACTGGCTAGGGCTTAAATATATTTTTATTGATTTCAGAGAGGAAGGGAGAGGGGGAGAGGGATAGAAACATCAATGATGAGAGAGAATCATGGATCGGTGCCTCCTGCACACCCCCCTCTGGGGATGATGTCTGCAGCCTGGACACGTGCCCTGACCGTTTTGACCAGGAATCAAACCGTGTCCTCCTGGTTCATAGGTCAATGCTCAGCCACTGGGCCACACCTGGTCCTGCCCATGTTTATGGGCCAGAATGAATGACACAGACACTAGCATTGCTGAGATCTGGTGAACTGGCTCACACTTTCTCAAACATGAACGTGAGCTTCTCCCTTCAGGAAATATCACCTGGCAGGTGCCAACTGACAGTCCTGTTGTCTTGATATCACTGTGCACGGGGCTCCTCACTGTGCACGGGGCTCCCCTCACTGTGCACGGGGCTCCTCACTGTGCACGGGGCTCCCCTCACTGTGCACGGGGCTCCTCACTGTGCACGGGGCTCCCCTCACTGTGCACGGGGCTCCTCACTGTGCACGGGGCTCCCCTCACTGTGCACGGGGCTCCTCACTGTGCACGGGGCTCCCCTCACTGTGCACGGGGCTCCTCACTGTGCACGGGGCTCCCCTCACTGTGCACGGGGCTCCTCACTGTGCACGGGGCTCCCCTCACTGTGCACGGGGCTCCTCACTGTGCACGGGGCTCCCCTCACTGTGCACGGGGCTCCTCACTGTGCACGGGGCTCCCCTCACTGTGCACGGGGCTCCTCACTGTGCACGGGGCTCCCCTCACTGTGCACGGGGCTCCTCACTGTGCACGGGGCTCCCCTCACTGTGCACGGGGCTCCTCACTGTGCACGGGGCTCCCCTCACTGTGCACGGGGCTCCTCACTGTGCACGGGGCTCCCCTCACTGTGCACGGGGCTCCTCACTGTGCACGGGGCTCCCCTCACTGTGCACGGGGCTCCTCACTGTGCACGGGGCTCCCCTCACTGTGCACGGGGCTCCTCACTGTGCACGGGGCTCCCCTCACTGTGCACGGGGCTCCTCACTGTGCACGGGGCTCCCCTCACTGTGCACGGGGCTCCTCACTGTGCACGGGGCTCCCCTCACTGTGCACGGGGCTCCTCACTGTGCACGGGGCTCCCCTCACTGTGCACGGGGCTCCTCACTGTGCACGGGGCTCCCCTCACTGTGCACGGGGCTCCTCACTGTGCACGGGGCTCCCCTCACTGTGCACGGAGCTCCCCTCACTGTGCACGGAGCTCCCCTCACTGCGCACGGGGCCCCCTCACTGTGCACGGGGCTCCCTCACTGTGCACGGAGCTCCCCTCACTGTGCACGGGGCCCCCTCACTGCGCACGGGGTCACCACTTCCATCATGCTGGCTGTTGGATTCTGTAGGTAACGGCACATCTGACCAGAACCAACTCATAGGTTCCTTGAGTCCTAAGGCGGGTGAGCCTGCTGCTCCATTTTGAAGTGCGAACGCTTTGCCGGTTTGGGGCCGCCACGCTGACGTGTGCGCTACGATCCAGGGTGAAACGCCTCCCTTCTCCTCAGTGGTGCAAAGAGGCGATGGTGACAAAAGGCCCTCAGATCGGGACAGTGGCAAGCCTTCCGGTGGAGGGAACAGACCTGCGAAACGCGGCCCTGTCCTGGCGGAGGAGGCGGCGAAGGCAGCTGGGCACCGGAAGCCACAGCCAACAACTGGTTAGAGCCCTCGGTTGTCACCCCTTTTGGCCCCGACGCTATGAACTGGCACTAACCAACACGGACTGGAATTGGGTCCCTTCTGTCAGGGGACCCCGATGATTTGTGCAGCTGATTTTTTATTTTTTTCTAAATGGCAATAGGTTGGTCCTTCCATCTGGGGTAAAAGGGTTGACTTACAAAACCTAAGAATCATTGATCGGCTGCCTCCTGCTGGGGATCGAGCCCGCAACACTGGCATGTGCCCTTGACCAGAATTGAACCTGGGACCTTACAGTCCACAGGCTGATGTTCTATCCACTGAGCCACACCAGCCAGGGCGAGGCAGAGCTTTTTTGAGAGTATGTGAAATCGGAAGCTCGGTCTCTCTATTGTCCCTTTTTGGATAAGGACACCAAGGTCCCAGATGTTTCTAGATTTTGGAAATTTGCATTTGAACTGTGGTATCAGTCGCCGAATGTCACTTTATTAGCAAAGCTCCTTTGATTCAATGCGATGTTCCTTCTTCAATCGGCCACTAAACGCACCTCAGACAACACACACACCCAGAG